CACCTTGTCAGAGAAGGAGACCAGGTTAGTTAAACAAGACAGCTTTACTGCGGGATATCTTTACTCACAGATAGAGGGGGTGGGGTCATAAGCAGCAAAACACTGTTCTCATTCCTTCCACTTTCCCAGAGTGAGTTAATTTGGAATAGCCTTGTAGGCAATCTGTAAGTGTAGAGAAGTAAMTATTAATTCAGGCCTCTTCTATAGGATCTTGTAGATATGAAGCAGTGTGCTTACATTGATAGAGAAATGAGTTTATGTCTTTATGCTAATGATCGTGGGATTATCTGCTTGTTAAAGATAATAGAAATCTTTCTGCAGCAGTAGTTATTGAATTGCCTGGAGTATTACTCAGTAAAATTGCATCAGTAAAATAAAGCCATTGGCAAGGTTGCTCAAAGTAGTGGATCATTGTGAGGGCTTTATAAAAATCCATAAATTCAGCTTCAGGTCAAATGGGATTTTGTCACAGAACTTTAATCCTAGGCTTCAGTGGTGAAGAAAATCAAGAAAAAAGTCACTTCTGCTGTTACAGTATGCCTGACTCCTGTTCATTTTCCAGAATCAGACTCTTTGATTCTCAAAATGCAAAAATAAGCGACACCTTGTTAACTTTTCTGTTTGTATGCATCATTTCTGCTGCAGATTGATCCATTTGCCTGGCACGTAGAATATGGTGTTACTGGATTAAACAGTGAGTGGCAATTGATTRTTTGCCAGAAATAAATGATGCTTATGTAGATCTCCAGCTGTTAATTTTGGTGGAGTAGTGTAGGATCTGTGACTGGTATCAATACAGGAGTGCATTTAATAGTGACAATTTTCTCATCATGTAGTTGAATACCTTTTAGGTGTTGAGCTTGAAATTATTCCTTAAAAGTCACCAGTGTCAAATTACTGATCTCTCTGACCCCAGAAACCCATACTGTGGCTGTGTAATATGTTGTGATTTTTTTTCTTTTCCAAAATGCTTTTTGGGATGATTCATAATGTAATAATGGAACCTATCACTACGTTTGGATATTTGTATTGCTTCCTATATATGTGAGAAAATMTGAAATCTTTAAAATTCTCTATAGTACTTTCTGAAAGAGTTAATCTCAAAAATGAATGAAGAAACTTAAATGTAAGAGAATGTTGTTTTCCACTCAGTCTTGGAGCTAGTTTTAACCAAATTCTACAGTATGATGTGAAATAACCCTTTAGACCTGAGAATTACTGGATTTTAAACTTTGTGAACTTCAAACCCAACGGTTTTCATTGCCATTTATGGTTTCCACTCTCTTTTTGATAATGAAGTTAATAATATATAGGATGAAAGAGGATGGACAAATATAAGAAAATAATTACCTGATTTCTTTTTTCTTTTGTTCTCAGTCAGACTTTCTTTTCTCTTATTCCAAGACATGTCTCTTGGAATAATTTGCTTCTTTTATCTTTTCATGTTCTAACTGGAAAATTGCGTTTCTCACAAGTATTGAGTTAATTTTTCCAGCTGACCTAAGTTGCTGGAAAAATAATGTGGGAAAAAAATTGTCTTTAATTGGACCTTATGAGATACAAGATTTATTTCTACCCTTTCCACACCTTTTGGGAGGATTGTGATAGAACAGCTGAAAGCTACTTGGTTTAAGWAACAGTTCAACTTACACAAATCATTGGCTTGTGGAATGGCTTGGGTTGGAAGGGACTTTCAGCTGTCATCTAGTACAACCCTCTTATCATTGCCAGGGACACCTTCTACTAGACCAGGTTGCTCAGTGCCCCATCCAACCTGGCCTTGARTATATCCATGGATGGAGCATCCAGCAGTTCCCTGGACAACCTGTTACAGTGTTTCTGGAATTCTGAGCTGCAAGTCCAGTTTTTCATTTATTAATATTCCAAGCCCTTCTTTGCAGGGTTGGTCTCAATCCATTGATCCCTGATGATTGATACTGGAGATTGCCCCAGCCAAGGCGCTGGTCTTTTCACTTGGCCTTATTGAACTTCCTGAGGTTCACACAGGCCCATCCCTCATACTTTTGGAGGACATCCGTTCCCACAGGGAATCAACTGCACCACATATATGGGTGTAATTTGCAAATTTGCTAGTGGTGCACTCAATCCTACTATCCCAGCCAATGCCATCTCATTGATGAGATACTAAATAATCCTTATCCTATCAGCTTACCATCTATTATGACTGAAGCGACAACCTTAATTTTTCTTTCAGACAGTTCTCTGCTAATATAAAGTAGTAAAAGAATTATCACTCACAAACAGAACTGTGTAAGAAGTAAATAAGATACTTTTTCTAGAGAGACCTTTCTTTATGTGTTCTAGAAAAGCAAGTAARCTTTTAAACTGAAAAAGACAAATGCTTTAATTTATTAATTGGTTAACAAATATCTTTGTTGCAGATATTTATCATGCAATATCATCCCTATGTCTCAGACTTTCCACTGCAGCAGTTTTAGTAAAATGAAAATAAGACTTGGAGCTGAATTTTAAGTGTTTTCCATCTTTAATATGAATCTGTCTTATATAAATACCTAATAGCTCCTTTCATCATGACTACAGTATCTCCTTGCCTGTGTTTCCCTTGCCCCCTTCTGGCTGTTCAGAGGTTTCATGTATTTCAGGAAAAAAATCTGCAAATTTCTTGCATGGATCTAGTAAATGGAAAATGAAACAACAAAAAAGCTCAAACAAGTAAATAAACAAACAAAACCCCAATACAATACCAAACCAAAAAACAGCTCAGGAAAGTGTTGCAGGACTTATGTAGACTGATGATCTGAAGTAATTTTGGCTTCTCATTTCTTCTATTGCTTGGTTAATGTTACACAAAGGTAGGGAAAAGTAGTTTTGAAATTTCTTTTCACAAAAAGAGTGTTTGATTATTTTTATCCTTATGAAAATTCTGGTTACAGAAAGGGTCACTAGATAATAAATTTTGCAGTGTTTAAGGTGAATATATGGGGTTTTATGCTACTCTCTCATTTAGTTGTCGTTAGCTGCCATGACAACCTGTGAAATCCTTTTCAGAGGGGTTTTTTTTCATTGTCGCTGGTCAAGCTTTTCTGTAAGTCTTTCACTAGACAATGCAACAGGCTTGGTGTTTTTCAAGCCCCATCCTTATCTCTAGCAAAAGTGTCATCCCAAGTTTGTTGTTGTAATACCTCTTATTTTGTTTTAGACTTGTAGTTTGCTCCCTTATCTCATTCTACTTGGCAAACTGTCCTATTTTGTAGGAACTGATTGAACCCTCGATAGTGTTCTGAAAAGAAAATTTAACTTAAGTAATAGCTGCACAAGACTGAAAATATATAAGGTTTTTATTAATATTGATTAAGGCTTGTTTGGAGATTGTACAGTTTAAGAGATTTTAGCTTTCACTTTTTCCATATTTAGAGGCTTTTACATTTTGAAAATCTGCTCTTTTATGTCTTAAGAATGCAAAAATTGAATGTAAGTCACTACTTTGAAACTCTCTTTTGCTGCAGCATTTCTCCTCCTTGTTGGTTTTAGGGAATTCACCGRATGGCAATAGAACAGCAGTTTCTCTTTATTTAGGAAAAGAGGTTTACAGGAAGGAAAAGGATATTTAGGCATTTAACACAGCTCTTCAAGACAGTAAGTGAATCCTAAAGTACAATGAATAAGGTATCCCAAGCGTTTGTTACTTATTTTGGTAATAACGAGTTTTCTCAGGTGTTTGGTGTTCTTCTGGTGATTCTTCTCTCTGACATCAATCAAACATGGATTGAATATATCTAATTCCAGGCCTTCTGAAACTGTTACTTAGGGATATTCAAAGCAGTGTGGGTAAACACTTGAGTTTCTGAAAGGAGAAAATGAGTCAATGAATTTTTTTTTTGTCTCAAAATCTCTTTCCTCTTTTTATTAGAAAGAATGCATAGAATGAAGCAGGCTAAAACTGTGGAAGTCACAGAGCTTTCATTTGAACTTTCCTTTAATCATACATTTTTTAAATGTAGGCCTTTTTCAATGTRTACTAATCTCTGTTATAAAGAATTTGATATACTTAGTSCTATATAACGTGTAATTTATACTTCAAGTGTCAATGATACATAAAGTCCTGAAATGAACCCTGGAAAGGGCAATGTRCTGTTGTTAYATCAGCATGTAGCAGTCAAGAGCARGAAGAAACAAAAGCTGTAATAAATACAGAGCAGATAATTGGATAACCAACACAGAGCTACCACTGCTCAGTTGTGATACCAGGATGCAAAAACCTGCTTAAGATTTGGCACTTTTGGTTTTCATAAATGTGATTGCTTGGGAAGGTGCTGGGGTATAAGAAATGTCCAAATGACAGCAGAGCTTCAGTACAGTGCTGGAGAATTGGGAAAGCACGAGTACTATGTGCAGAGTCCTTCTGTACCTGCCTGCAGAACCGGTGTGCCAAACGTGTTAATCGGACTTAGACCCTATCATTAAAGGATTGCTTAAATTACTGYATGATGTACTTAAAAGGTTTTAATGAGATGTAAAGCATTTTGTAGTGAAATTGGTAGAGAATGTCAAGCTAAGATTTTATCATTATTTTTTCAAGATAATAGGAAATTAAGCAAATGACATTATGAGGCCAGACCTTGAATCCCGGAATATCTTGAAAGAGTGATTTGGAAAAGTAGATGTTAGTTAATTCCACACTTTCTCTTCTTGATCACAGTACTGATCAGACTACAGATGATTGAAATGGCTCCCAGAGAGCTGAAACTTAGCAAATATCTATCTGGTTTTGGTATGAATGGTCTCCATTGCTATTGAACAGCTACTGAAATGATATGGTGTGTATGTGAGCCCACATTTGATTGCAGCACCTGCAGCATTTTCCTTATGGTTGGTGGGAGCTGCCTGTTCCTCTGTGTCAATGGCAAAAAATGGCCACAGCTGATTAAAAGTTGTTACCCTAGATATTCAATAGCTGTCATATCTTTTTACWTAGCCTATTGTAGCCTGATATTATTGCCATTCTGTTGATTTCTCAGAGTTTGCTGTGCCATCTCCTTTCTTCTTCTAAGTGGGAAAGTAGTGAAGCTGAAACTAGTACATTCATATCAACTCTGGGCTACACGTCAGAAGATTATTATTGTCACTTGGTTAAAAATGTAAGTATTTTGTGTAATTGAGATTTTGTTAATAATAAATCACCAGTTTATAAGCACATACATGGAGCTGTCATTGTGATAAGGAACATGAACTGAACTTGGTTTATCTTTTCTTACCTCGGTTACTTTTACAACCTTTTAAGGGAAAAAATGAAGTGGAAGATCTCTGGACAAATGAGATTTTTTTTATTAGATTACACTGTAATAGATGTTCATAAAAACAAAATTCCTGTTGCTGTTGTGCTATAACAAAAAAAACCCTGGTTTTTTTCTCCATGAAGTTAAAATTATATTTATTATTTTATGTGTTAGAATATAATTTCTGAATATTTTCTTTACTGTATCCACTACATTTAAAATGGGAGATGAGCTCTACATGTTAGGTAAAGTCACTTTCATGTTTAAGAGATATAAAAATAGGGAAAATAACATTTCTTAATTATAATACAATAAAGCTTGTAAAAATTATTAGTAATGTTTTTCTGAAGGTTTTGCCTTAATTCTTGAGGACGCAGAGCTAAAATGAGTTTTAAAACATATAAGGCATATAATGTGTTAAAATAAAATTTTGCAGCACAGYTTGTTCAGTGATTTGGAGAGCATTAATTTGACATCAATAGTTACAAAGTTTAAAAATCAAAATAGATGAACAGAGAAAGTTACTAACCTTTACAGTATATCAGTAACACAGAAAACCATGCAACTGTTTGCTTACTGGTAGTAAATTTAATGTATTTTATTTTATTTATTCTTATTGTATTTAACAGATGGTATTTTCATTAGTAACAGAACTCAGAGAAAACCGGTTCAATGGACTTAATATTCCGGGGAGGTAGGTGTTRTGTAAACATAATTTTGATATGTTTTGGTTTGGAACATTGCAGTACAATGAGGATCATTTTACAGTCTTGGGCACTTTGGCTTCAGTTGAAAAGCTTTGGACATGTGTGTAGATAATTTAAGGAGTAGACAAGCTTTTTTAGCTGGGCTTCAGGTAAGAGTTTATATTTAATTTAGGAGTCAGAATGGTTGGAAGGGACCTTCAAAGATCATTTACCTAATACTGCTGTTGTCACTGTTTTTGACATGATCATGCCTTTTTTTCTGAGTGATTTGTACCTTTTTGCTGAGCTTGAAATGCAGATCATAGTCTTTTGTGTACTTTAACTTCATTTGAATGTCAGTAGATCCTTTCAATTTCATGTAAACTAAGTGAATTGGTGCTAAAAAAAAGAAAAAATAAGGATAGATGTTTTTAATATAAGCTATGAGTTCAAGTTGTGCCTTCTSTTTTAAGTATTCAATTTATTAGATTAAATTATTAATAATGGAATAATACCTATAAATCAGCAATACTTGTTAATAATTAAATTATTAGTGATTAAATAATTACAATAGTGTTAGAAATGAAATAAAATTATTGTTGTTATTATTAAATAATAAAATAACTAATAATTAAATAAAATAATTAAAATATTAAAAAAATTGAAATAATTAATAGTTAAGGAATTGAATTAAAGAAAATGCCTGCTCACATTCTGTTGCCCTCCGGAATCAAAAGGCACGCTATGAAGAAATGAGTTTTATTACCTATTTTACACTACATAGCTTGTAAAATTACATTAAAGAAGAGGCTGATTGAATTACCTTTCTTGTATCATGAGCCAAAAACTCGGCTCTTTGCACCTAGGTATTTGGTAAGGAAGATTAAATGAGCTGAATTCATTTAGAGCTGATTTTAGTATTAAAATAATGGATGCAGTTAATGAGAAGTATCGCAATATTTCATTCCATGTAGGAAATAAACACTCACCTTTTGAAAAGTAGGGTAAAACAGACTTAGCTGAAAAGCTGGTTGAGACTGCTAGGAAGGGAAATACCTGATTACTATGGGGAGATAGGGAAAACTTCGTACTTAGGTGGATTTATCAGTGTAGAAATTATGATATGGCCGTTCATTCAAATTCCAGAGACAAAAGTAGTTTGCTTTTAGAGGTGTACATTTTCTCCTTTCTCCATTTAGTGATGTTTTAAAAATGACAATGTCTGTATGAATTCATTGTACGTAGTGGAATGCATTGTGCAGCATCCACCAAGAACATATTTTGAAGATTRTGTAGAAGAAAATTGCATTTAGAGGGTCTTTCTTCTGGGTTTAAGTAAGAGTAAATTAATCTGCTAAACTTTGCTAATCCTGGATAATTAGAAACAAAATTTTGGAAAGGAGACTGATCTAGAGTTTTCAGGTCTGTGTATCCTGAAAAACACTGCTGCATGATAAGATCATCCCAGTAAGTACCCTTCCTACGAAAACACTTGTAGCAAAAGTACATTTCGAAGTATTTCAGCGTAAGAAACCTTAAACCCATATTAAATCAGGTAATTACTCAGAAATTTACATCTTTGAAAATGTGTTATGTTTTATTTCTCTCTCTGTTTGAATGATAATGGTTAGTACCTCATGTCCACACTGCTGAGTAGCCTGTTAATTCTCACCTCAGGGCTTCAGAGGCAGTGTTGGTTACTCTGCAAAGAAAATACTTTCASGTTCTGGCAGAGTATGCACTTCTTTTAGTGAACATTGCAATCAGGAGAAGCTTGCAGAAACTTGGGGAAGCCTTTTACAAACAATCTAGTGTCTTTTAATTTGCTATAATTCAGTATTTCATAGTTCTCGGTCTTTTATAAGTGTTTTCCTGTCAAAGGTACACCTTCAGGTATTAAAAACAACATATACTCTGTGAAAGTTGGGATTTTCTTTTGCAAAGCTAGTCTCTGTCATTTAACTATTTTTAATGTTCCAAAGGTTCCATATTATCTTTATGTTCCAGATTCCACTGTCTTTAATCATTTCCAACCATGTAGTTTTAGTTAGATGGTCCAGTGAGTGGTTTGTGTGCTACATGTTCCTTGAGCTGTAGATGTGTAAGATAAAAATTTTTCAGCTCAGCACTTGTAGACAGCAAGATTCATAAATTGTTTCTGTTGAGAGGAGAGAGAGGTTAARAAAGCAATAGTAGGCCTGAAAAGCATCTAGGTTGTCTCTTCCAAGGCTCCAGGAAATTTACATGGGAGCTATGAATCTGTAATCTTCCTTCACTGACCCTGGGAAAGATAAAGCATTGTCCACTAGGAAGGATGGGGGTGAAGGAGCCAACACAATTTGCTTCAATTCAGAATTGTGTTGATATCCTTCACATGGTTTTCTTTGAGCACTTATAAAGCAAAATTTTATCCGCCTTCTTAACATTYGTCACACAGTATGGAATGATATGTCAGCAGTCATTCTAGTAAATGTAAAATTCAGCAATGAGCTATGCATCTCTTACAAGTAGTCTTCTGTAACTAATTAATGTCCTTCTTTTTAGCTTAACAGTTTAGAACTTAAAGTTGTGATTTTTCTGAAACATGAACTGTGTCTATTTTTTCCCCTCAGCATTTTAGCCAGTCGTGTGAATGCTGTGTCCATTTTCTGTGTCCCTCTCATTACTTTGCCKGATCTAACTCCATTGCTGGAAACTCTGCTTCTTTACCATGGATGTTCTTCAAAAGAAATTCTCAGTTCAGAGTTTCTAGAGGCTGTGAATGAGGCCTTTTTAAAGTAAGTAGCAGGGTTTGTATTATTGTTTTGCTTTTTCATAAAGATTAATTCATATAAATGTGTTTTCTCTAGGTTTGTATGCTGAATGCACCMTACACCTGCTTTCTAATAAAATATTTCCCTTGCAGTTGAGTAGCAGAGCTGAGGCTGTGGGCCAAAGCAGAATTTTATATTGCTGACGCACAAATTGTGGCATAAAATCTTTCGATATTGACTGGGACTTTGTCCCGCCTATTCCCTAAAAAGGAGGTTAAACCTTCAATAGATTTTAGGAATTTTGTAGAAATAGTGATAATTTTTCATAGAAATGTAATTTACCTGTCATATATTACCATTCCTAACTTGTTATTTTGGGAATAATTTTAATTTTTCTGTGCATAGGATAGAATCTTATGTTTGRTGTTTTCATAACTATTTTGGCAGGGTTTTTTCTCTGTGTTTCTTTTGCGGGGAGTTGGGTTTTTTGTTGTTGTTGTTGGGTTTTTTTGGTTTTTTTTTTTAGGTGGGTTGGGGGTTTCGGTGTCTTGTTTCTTTCTTGTGCTGTGAAATTGGTTCTCCAGATTTATAGTTCTCCTGGTTTTCAGCAGATTGGTTTTAATAAGTTTGAGAGGAGCAATTTGTGCAATAGAGCTTTGCTTGTTTTGCTACTACTAAACGCACCATTCTGATAAAATCAGTCTACATGTGAAAACCAACTGAGTGCAGTGGGACATCAACAAGGTTGGCTATGACAGAAAAGGGAAGATGTCAGGGAAAGCACAGCCCACTTTTGCTTGCCACTTTTTAATTGCACTTTATTAAAGTTGTAGCTGAGATGCTGTATTACAAAAAAAAAAATTGTACTAGAAAATGTTTCTTGTGACCACTTCACATCAATTATCCATATCTCTCCTTTTTTAATCAGTTTTTATTGCTTCCTCTGTACTCATCATGATTTATRATGATCCAATGAGGATTTTTGTAGTAGTCCATTGTGGGCTCCAGACAAAAATAAATAATTAATGGAAAACCATAATTACTACTCCATACAGTTTACTAGAAACTGAGGAAAAGGAATGAAAAATGGGGAGATTCATAGCAAAGGATGTCCCCAAAAAACACTGAGATATCTTTCTGTCTTTTCCTTGTCCATCTTTTGTGACTTCAGATTGTACATGTTCCACCAGTTTGGAAGGCTTTTAGAACAAGCTCACAGATTCTGTATGGATGCCTTCTTCTCATATCATAAACTGATAGGCAGTCCATCATGGCAGACTTCTAACAATTCCTGTTGAGTCTGGCTGTTCTTTGAGTGGTCATAAGAGGTTCTTCTGACTGAAATAAATGTCTCTTTTCCTAACTTCTGAGCTGCTTATCACAGTGAGCAAAAGTATCTKATTTCACATGGCCTTTGACTAAGTGACTCTTGCCAGGGTCCTCAAACAAAGTGCATGGTTTMCCTGAGAGCAGATACAGGCTCATATGTGCTTTGCATGATATATTCCTGGACTGTCACTGAAACTCATGTGGTCTGAATGTGAATGTGCTTGTACTTTTTTTTCCCCTACTCTTACAACTGAATTCTATTTTTCCTAACTCTGTCATTGTGTTCTGAACATGTCTTCTTTCTGAACATGGGTGAAGCCTACCCCAGAATATAGGGCTCCACAGAACTCAGAATTGTCCCAGTGGGACCATCTGCAAGTTCAGCTGTGGGAGTGCAATCACTACTTAACTTTCTATATGGTTTTTAAATCTTAGAGTTGCAACACTYCTATGAAAGCTTAGTAGCTTTCTTTCCCTGCCATAATATCTATATCTACCATGCTACCACAAAAACAAGAAGAAAGTTGGTAGTGGCAAAATTAGCTAAATCTCTTGTCATTGTTAATTTATTTTGATCTGCATAAGTGCTTTAACAGTAATTATAAAACAGCATCCTGAAATTGAGCATTGCTTTACAGTTTTGAAATTCTGGATAGTACAATATATTTCTTGTCTCCACATGTACACTTTAAGGTCATTACATAGTATTGAGTGGAAAAAATACAGACTTTTAAATGAAATTCAGAATTTTGAGAGCTATAAAATGCGATTAGTATTCTTTCGGCTGGTATTTTTCTTTTTTTATCAGTAGCTTTAGTTTGCATGTACTGTCCAGCCTAATTTTAGGGTTTTTAATCTTAACTTGAGTCAAGACCAAGGGAAATATTTCTTGTTATTTATGTACTGTTCTGGCTTTAGCCTTTAATTTGCAACTATCACAACAGCTACAAAGATATTCTAGGATGTTTTTGCTGTGATATCTCAGGTGGATAGTTTAGCATAKTTTGATTTGTGCTGGTCCTATTTCCGTAGTGAACAACACTTTATGTCAGCTGGGCAATAGCTGAAGTCCTTAGCTGAAGAGRTAACTATCTTCTTAACTGTTTGTCTTTTAAATGGCTCTGGTCAGTACTGGTGCGTCGAAGACTTAGCTACTTCTAAGTAGTTTTTTTCCCATTTTGTTCCTTTTTTGTCCTTTTTGTTGTTKCTTTGGGGTTTTTTTCCTTATTTCTCTGCAAAGATGGGTAATGTTTTGGTTGTATAGCAGAAATATTATGCAGGACTTTCCTGCTCATCTGTCAGTAGCTGTCTGCAGAAACTAGTCCAGGTTTGAGAGAGCACAAAGGTCTAGGGACAGGACCATTCTTTGGAGAGGAAGGAAACTCTGGACTTAACCTTTTATTTCCACTTGATGGGATCATGAGCAAATTTTTACATTTTAAACATGGCAAAGTTGCATTTGTAGATGATRGTAATTTCCTGCCATTCTTTGTTATTATGTTTTGATATCAAAGAGGGTACTGTAAATAAGATTTTATCTCTCTTGCTTCAGTTGATCTTTGTGCCTTCTTTTTTCCTCAATATTTAAAAAAAAGGTACTTTTTTTTGTTTTCCTTCCAATTACTCAGGTAAAATAATATTTTTCTCTCTAAACCAGGAAGAAGATCTCCCTTCCTGAATCAGCAGTCTTCAGCCTCTGGCTCCGTCACTTACCAAGCCTTGAAAAAGCTGCCTTACATCTTTTAGACCAGTTGGTTTCCATTCAGTTGAATTCACTGGAGGAAGTGGCGTGTGTCATAAAAGACTCACTGCTGGTATGTGCAACATGTAGTACATCTCATACTGCTCTTTCATGCTTCAGAGTGACAGTTTTCATATATGTCAATCTATAGACATATGTCAGCATAAATGGCCATTATGAGACACATGATTTGTTTATCTTGAGTCTTTAAAACATCACCRTATTTTTAGCTTTTACTCTGAATTGGTAGAAGAGAAAATAAGATTTCGTGCAGTGATGAAGAATGGGTAAAGAAATGAGAATCCCATTTGTGAGGGTGCTGAGTACATTTCTCTATCTTAAAAAAATATAGACTCTAATCAGGAAGGTTGKTTTTTTTTTTACTTCAGTCTCTATGCCCATGTAGTTTGGCAGTCTAAACAATTGGAATCCCTTGTAGATTATTTTATTATGGACTGCTTAGTTACTTGGTTTTGTTTGCAAACCTGAACAAAATTCTTAATGGAAAACATTTGCTCAACTGTAATTAAAATTTGTTTTCAAATGCCTTATTACAAGAGCACCTATCTTCCCTAAGAGAAAATCTGGCACAGTATTTTTTCCAAAATAATGAGCTAGTTTGCAACACTAAATGTAAATTTAATTGTTAATTACAATGTGAAATAGCATGTGTGCTTTGCACTCAAATTATATGTTTCATAAAATGASAGAACTAAAAATGGCATATGGTATCTTATTTTCCACTTTTGAAACTGCTTACAGAGTATGTATTCTAGTCAGGAAAAGAATGCTACCTTTAAATATACTTCTTTTTTCATTGAATCTCCAAATTTCTTATTTTGGGGGATCCACTATTATGTTATACTTGTGAATCTCATAAATGCTTGGCATCATCAGTTCATTTGTCATGTGGGGATTTAGGTATTGCAGCAGACAAGGCTCTATATGGGGTCTACGCCTAATTTTTCTGTATGAGATACACGGTGAATTGTATATAATATATGGTACTATGCCAAGTACCTGCTGAGGGAAAAAAGATATCTAAATCTAAGTTATAAATATATAAAAAGAAGTCAAATATTTGTTTCAGGTGTTGTTTTTTTGGTTTTTATTTAAAATGTTAATACTTGTCTTCACGACCTGATCTCTGAAAAGAATGTAACATTACTGTGCTAGCACACTCAGATTGTCTTTAAAGACTTTGTGCTTTAAAAATAAGATATGCATAGAGTGGCAAGACCAGTGCAGCAGCTTTGAAAGCTGGTTTAGAGAGGACATCCTGTGGACAAAGAATGGAATGAATGGAGCCATAAAGCTGAGAGCAGTTGGCAGCTGGATGTTGATGATTGATAGGCATTGATAAGAGAGAGGGTGCGTAAATGGGAGATGTCATAACAATTAAAAAYAATAGGATGAGATGGTTCAGAGAGGCAGTATAGAAGAAAAATAGTATTATCCATAAATTGTGTTCTAAATGCATAATTATATTCTCTACAACATTTACGTGGCACTGTAAAGATACTTGTGTGACATTAGATCTGTCAGTACTTGGAATCCAACAGTATAAWTAATCTAGCCTGCCTAAAAGATATTTGAATATTTATTTGGAAATGTGGATGTGCATTTTTTGGCATTTGTAAGATGTAAGCTCTGTTTACCTTATGGATATGATAATAGAGGAACCATGAGACAAAACGAGATTTCTACTTTTGTGTTTGGAACAAAACCTTTAAAGGACAAATAGGCAGAATATGTTAGTGATTTGATTATAGTACATTATGAGAAGGAAATTTCAATAAACTCTTTCATAATTGAATTATCAGAGTAATTTATCTAAGTCAAGTATCTTGATACAGTAATCAGACCGTACATAAACCTCACAGAGATCTAAGGTGTTGAATTTGCCTCATTGAGCCCCCGCAGATCCCCGGCRCAGGAAAGACACACGAGAGGCAGGCAGGCAGGTCCAGGTGCTTCTTTATKAGTCTTCTCTTCCAGCTCCTTTTGCTGTAGTGATATTCAGCTCTCTATCTCTCTACTGCTACCAGCATGCTTTTTTATGCACTTTCTTATCTTCCCGCACATAGAATCACACCAATCAAACAGGTCCCAGMCAGATGACACAGCTGGGCACTCTCCAATCTCCAAGCAGCATGTTTTTGTCTTTTATTGGTAGAATACTTTCATTTATCCAATACCATGACTGGCTGCATCAGCCCAGCTCGAGTCTGCGCTGTTTTGACCATGTCTGAGTCCAGGCTGYTTTCCAGCCCAACCCCCACACATAGCTCTAAAAATGGCCAAGGCCACGGCACTAAGGTACCCAGATAGTTGTAAACCACTGTACTTCCATTATGAGAGAAACTTAATATGTACCTCATATATTTTGATTGAGGAATAATTGTTGTGTGATGGTCCAGTAACTTGTGTTTATATGGAATGCTATCATGTTTGTGACTTTGTAGCTGAACTGAAGTTAATATTGGAAATTCTGTAGTTACTCAGAAGTAACAAACACAAGTGAAGTGACCATTGTAGATGGTCTCTTAGCTTCCTTGGAATTAGTTGGGTGAATGGATGTTTTCCTTTCTGAAGTAACTTTAAGGTTTGTATGTGTAACAACTCGCAGTAGACACATACTGGTATTTTTGCTTTACCAGGAGTGGATAGATACGTATGTATGTATACAGATTTTTAAAGCCCATGTATGTAAAAAGAGATGTAAATGAATCAGTGTAATTTATAGTTTGTGTTTGGTTCTGAGATAGCTTTCCAAAGTAGTTCATTCCTTTCAAAGTTATGTTGCAAGAAAAGTGCAATAGGTTCAGAGGGTTTAAAATTTGTTGGCTGCTTCTTTATAAACCATCTGTTCTTGCTGCATTTTGCTTTTCCATGTTTAGGATCATAGAATTATTAAGGTTGGAAAAGACCTCCAAGATTATYGAGTCCAACCTTTGTCCAGGCACCATCATGTCAGATTAATCATAGCTCTAAGTGCTACATCCAGCTGTTTTTTGAACACATCCAGGGATGCTGCCTCCTACACCATGTTGGTGCTGTTCCAATGCTTTTCCACCCTTTCACTGACAAAATTTTTCCTGATGTACACRCAGCCTGCGACCATCCTCTTGTCCTGTCACTGGCTGCCTGGGAGAAGAGGCCCACCTGGCTGCACCCTCCTTTCAGGCAGCTGTGTTGCACTGGRCAGCCTCCAGACATCTGAGACCTCAGTTAGCCAGRACTRAKGACAAATGRWGGAGAGYGGTTTAGTGAGCACTTCTGTCACCTCTGTCAGTACCTTTGGGTGGATCCCACCTGACCCCACRGTTTGTGATTGTCTGAGTGGCACAGAGGCCACCAACAGCTTGTTCCTGGATTGCAGGAGATTGTTCTGCTCCCCACCCTGTGTACCAGCTCAGGGGGCTGGCTRCCCTGGGGGTAATAYAGCTTTCTGTTAAAGACTGTGRAAAGGAAGGCATTATGTACCCCAGYCTTTTCCTCATCCTTGGTGACTGTTCCCTTCCATGTCCAGCAAGGAATGGAGATTTTCTTTGACCCTTTTTTTGTTGTTCATGTATTTGTAAAAACACTATTTATAATCTTTCACAGCAGTGGCCAAATTGAGTTCTAGCTCAGGTTTTGCCTGTCTAGTTTTCTCTCTGACCTAATGACATTCTGATTGACTGCCCCTTCTTCCAAAGGTCATGAGCTCTCTTTTTTCTGAGTTCCTGTGAAATCTTCCTGCTCAGCCAGGGTAGTTGTCTTCCCTGCCAGTTTGTCTATTGGTACCTGGAAGTGGCCTATTCCTGTGCCTTTAAAATGTACCTCTTAAAGCATGTCCTGCCTRACTAGACCCTTTTGTTTTTATGGGCTGTTTCCTGAGGGACTCTGAACCAGTGTCCTGAACAGACCAAAGTCTGCCCTCAGGAAGTCCAAGGTAGAGGTTTTGTTGATTCCCTTCCTTACTTTACTAAGAATAGAGAAACTATCATTCCATGGTCACTGACCAGTGATGGCCCCCCAGCACCACATGTCCCACAGCCMTTCTCTGTTYGCAAACTGCAGATGTGGCAGGGCACTGTCCTGGCAGGCTCCCTCACCAGCTGTGTCAGGAATTCCCTTCCACACACTCCAGGAACTCCCCGAGTGCCTCCTCTCCACTGTGCTGAGTTTCCAGCAGACATTTGGCGAGTTAAAGTCTCCCACAAGAGCAGGGATCGTGAAACATCCACAACAGAACACCTCAGCTGCCCCCTGAGCCTGGCTGGGAGCTCTGTCACAGACTCCAGCAGGTTCTCTGCCTTGTTGGCCACCCCTCTGATTGTCACCACAGGCATTCAGCCTTATCCCCGCTGTCCCTGAGCTCTGTGCAGTCAAACCCTCCCCAATGAAAGAGCCAATGAAATAGGTGTTTATGAGGAAGAATGGAGAAAATTCTTCTTGATTTCAATAGATTCAGGAGCTTTTAAAATTCTGAAAAAATTGTACTTGTGCTTTCAAAATATATTCCTGAAAACAAAAACACATTTGTCACTTCRTATAAGAAGAAAGTGACGTTTCCTTTTTTGAAGTAGTAAGTATAAAAATCGGATTTACAAATATACAGTTGGGGAATACAATATTTGAAATACAGTACTGTAGTAATTTCTTAAAGCTAGATGTGCTTAATGTCTAGAAGTATTGTGTCCARTTAATTGCATGTGAATCTTAATGCAAAGAGTTACCATCTCAAATCTGTGTGACCTTGAGCATGTTTATTTCCCTATGTTWATTCCTACTTTTGAGTATTCTGTGATGTGAATAAAATGCAGATTATTCTATTCCTCTTTGTCCCATTTATTTGCTTACTGTAGATACAGAAAATTTTTTCTTATTTTTTTTATTCAGTTGTGTTATAAATAAGTTGTTTCTGTCAGTATTGTGCACGTGTTAAAAGTGATTGAACAAGCTCCTAATAGATAGAGTTTGATTTCTGTCAAAAACATTGAATAGTTGCAGACAAGATTATTAAAATGTAAAATGCCTTTTTATTTTGAAAACATAAGGTGATAATGTCAACAGGAAGAAAACTGTGAAAATCTGACCTGAAAACAGTCATTCCTCCAAAATTCCAGAACTGTTGCTSGCAGTAGCAGAATTGTGCTGTCTGCTCTTGTCCTGCTACACAACAGGCATCTTCAAGTTGTCTCACAGACTTTTGCACTATCACAGCATTCATGCTCTGAGTGCTTGCAAATTAATTTCATGCAGTCCATTGATTAAAATCTTGTGAAATTAGATAATAGTGGGATTTGGGGTTGGTTTGGTTTTTTCCCTTTTGACCAGCAGTGATGAAATTCATATTGATTTCTGTAGTTTAGATTGAATCCCAAGGTCTATTAACTATGATTTCTCATACTGAGTACTGTTAGATTGCTACTGTCTGGCTGGAAGAAGTGGAGAGGTTTGTTTTTTTTTCATTGTTGTGTACAGCACATTTATTTTGGACTTACTCTAAAGAACTAGKATTTGATCTTGGTATTGTGAACTGGTGTGATGGTGTACCCTTTCTGGTTTGTATGCAACCTGTCTTAAGCAACAGTGTGTTGGTACATCATCAAAGGTAGGTAARTTGTCTGAAAGAATGGTTGAGTTTGGAAGGCAGCTCTGGCAATCTAGTCCAATCTTTCCTTAAAGAGAAAAGCCAAAAAAGCAACAAAAAAACCAAACAAAAAAGCTCAAAAAACAAAGTAAAAACCGCACCAAAACAAACAAAACAAAAATCCAGACCAACCAACCAAACAAAAACAAAAAAMCCCTACACAAACAGAAGAACACTCACAAAAACAAGCCACCAAAACCCAAGGAGAGGAGCGTGCCTCCTGCTCGTCTCATCCCTGCGGTTTGGCAGTGCGAGTTCGGGATCAGCCCCGGCTGTGCCTGCTCGGCAGCAGGAGGTGGCGCACGTTCGATAGCACAACCTGGCTGCAGCCCCGGGGCAAAGAAAATGGGGCAAAACAGCAGAATGAGGCGCCGCCCCCTGTTTCCAGGATGGCAGACACAACTGAGGGAGACGAGAAGCTTTTCTGGACAGATTTTAGTAATGGTTGWTTGTTTCCAATGTTATCATGTAGGGATCATATTAATCAAAGTCCTCATTCTTCCTATGTACAATTAAAATGATAATATTTTATTCTTGGTATTGTTATTACTATTATTATAATAATTGCTACAAGTATTTTTTCTTAAATAAACATAATTTACATATATTTTTACTATATCAGTTTTCTACTTGGTCCTTTTTAGCTTGAAACAAATGCATACCAGTTCTCAGCAGTTCATGATGCACTTTAGGCTGCATTAATAAATGCCATTTTATAAATGCTATGCTTCCTAAAGTTTATAGAATGCATTTTATTAAATATGCTTTACTCTAGGCTGTTCAAGAGCTATATTTTTACCAAATCTTCAGGTTCAAAGTGCAGAAACACTAAGTGAGGATTTGCTTTTTAACTTAAGCTTTAACTTAGTACTTTGGGGAATATGTAAATCTTTTTTATTCTAGGTGTTCTGTAAAAGTGTAAGAATATGAAATTAGAAAGCAGTGTGTTTACTGGTGCGTGTTTAATGTAACAACTTGCTCAAAGCAGTCTTTTGTGTGGTAGCATGGTAAAAGTTTCACCAGTTTAAAAAAACCAAGAATTAAATTCAGTGACATATTTAGCTTGTACTAGCAACTTTAAAGTTGAGAAAAGAAAATAATACTGTGAAAAAATGTCCTGGGCTAAAATGCATGCAAAACTATAAAGAACAAAGGCAATAAAATCAATTTCATTTCTGGAATTTAATTTTGAAGATATAGCAAGAGTCTCAAAGTACAATCCAGAAAGGACTGTCTGCGAAGAGGAAAGAAAAGCTTTTTGAAAATCTGCTCYCTGTGTCTTGTGTCTAGCAATTGCATGCAACAACCTATTCTTTCTGCCACCTTCAGTGTTTATACTGATTGCTGTCATAAGCAGCTTGGGATCCTAGGTGTTTGCATTTATCAGCTGTTGAGTCTGGTTGGTYTCACAGTGGAGAATCCTAAGAATTCTAATCTTGAGAAAATCTGAGGGTTTATTACGAATTGATCTGAGAGTTACAGTTTAATAATGGCTATTTAACAGCATCCATGAGTTAAGCTGTAAATTATACTGTGGCAGTTGTGTGAGTCGTTTCTTATCAATATCTAATTTTCTTTCATTTGTTTATCAACAGCCAAAAGCAGCAAGCCATCCTGCCATTTTCAGAATTGTAAATGAAATTTTCAAGTAAGTTTTGAAATTTTAGTGGGAAGAGTTTTAAATGACCCATTTAACATTGAGATTTTCTTCATGAGAAGAAACAATATTATAATCTGTAGCATATTATAATTTCATTTTATTTCAGTATCTTTCTGTGTGCTTTAAAGTCCCCCTCTGTGTAGTACACTGCACATAATGAAAAATGTTAAAAATCTTAGAAACTTTAAATATAAGTTACATTATAATAGTCATTGATTGCATGTTGATTGCATTGYATTTTAGCCATTAAGATTTGCAATTTGTTTTGTACTTCAGTAGAGGTTTGTGGTTGAAATACAATTTTGAGATGGAAATTATAAATGCTGAAATGACTTCTCCTATGCCAGCATGAAGGTGGAATTTGGTGAAAACATTTGCACTTACCAGTGTTGCCATTTTTACATTTTGTTAATAGTCTTCAGGATTTATGACATTAAACTATTGAGCTGCCTCTTAATAATGAGTTMAGTTTAGAATGCGTTAAAATTATTTTGAAGTAGTATTTACCATATGGGTGCTTCCAATCCTCATACTCAGTTTTCAATGGTTTTTTCTCTTTGTTTCATATGACTTCTTTCTTATTACTTTTCAGTAGATCTGCTGCCAGGGTTATCAGTATTAACAGTTTTGATACAACAATAATGTATTTAGTGCCTGACATCCTTTGCTCATCAAGTGTTTCCCTTCTTAAGAAAACAGAGCTCTCAAGCACACTGTTTGGGGACATCTGTGTGTCTGTGTGCATGTTTAGGTTCGTGCAGGCGCTAGCAGAAGAATTTTTGCTGTAGAAACTGTAGACCACTGTATTGTGAGAGTGGGGCCACTAGGCAGCTACTGCTCAGGCAGTCCTTTGTTGCTCTGGTCCCATGCACACAGATAGYATTTTCTGAAGAGCTGAAACTAATAACTTTCCCAAAGTGAGATGCCCTTAAAAATTGATATGACTTCTGCAAAGGTGTACTGATATCCTAGGCTGGAGGCTGTATATTGTGATGGTACAGGGAGACAAAATTTATGCAATCTTCTTGGCTTATTTAAAGTCATGGTATATGAAATATTTTCTAAAAATAACACATGACTTCATTACTCTTTTTCATCCTTTTCTTTGGTAGACAGGAGAATTGGATAAAATTATGTTTCCCAGCTAATGGAGGACTTTGTCCAACACAATACTTCCTARTAAAACTTGGCACTTCTATTAATGTTCAAAATTGACCTAAAAATTATGTTTTCTTGTTTCTAAGCCTACATTTTTGCTCCATTTTTTTACTTTGAATTGTTTCTACTTAGTGTGCTTGTCCCTCTACATTGTTGGTATTCAAACCTTCATGTGTTTTAAGAATACYGTGTCTCAGCTCTTCTTGATATTTACACAAAGCTGTATATGTTAGCTGGCTTTTGCAGTCCAATTGGTTTATGCAGCCCTKTTTATTTTTGTTGTATTTCTCTAACATCCTTCCAGCTGTTATCAAGTGGTGTGCAGACATGTAGATGCTATTCCAGATTTAATCATCGGTGAGATTTTAGAGAACTGCTGATACTTCCTTGCTTGGAAACTGTGTTAGGTTTCTATGGCTGGCACAAACCCTCTTTTATTTTTGGAGTTAGGATTCTGTTAGAAGTATGGATCTAAGCATTAGGACTCTTTCTGTAGTAACTTTTCCTGCTATTAGCATGCATGTTGAGGTTAATTGTGCTAAATTGTTTTATCAGTGATATTATTTCCTGCTTTTATTTGCCAGTGTTTTCTTGCTATGTGTGGCTGTACAGAAGTCCATACACCAAGACTGTCTTGAGTTTCCGTGTACTATGTCTTCTTTTTATATCAGTGATTATATTTTCCTGTAGTTTTGTGATATTTCTATGTTACAGTAATGTGTCAGCTTTTCAAATCTTGTGGTAGGAATGAAACAATTCTCTAATACTCATATCCCACTGGCAACATGCTTTGAACATTTTTTCTGCTTACTACTTACTATAWGTCTTTCAAATAAGAGAATGAAAATTGCTGCTGTGTGTTTTCCTGCTCCATTGCTGAAGGTTATTTTGCACTGTGGAAGCCAGTGGAAGTATTCACCTTTGTAAACCTCTACAGTGGCCTATGGGATGTAGTCCCACAAAACACTAAATGCTTAAGTTAGTCATGCAAAAASTTGCTCTGAACACAATAAACTGATCAGATCCCAAATTTGGCTAATGAAGTAGTGCTAGTCTTTTTTATTGTATACTTATTTCCCCCTATTGGTAGGATAAATTCTTTGTACMCATGCATATTGTATATATTTACTAAGTCTAGTTTTTCTGTAGGAGTTGTGTATGCAGTTTGTTTGTTTTTTTTTTAAATTAAAAATTAAGTCCAAAAAGCCTGTGAAGTTAGTGGTGTAATGAGCTCAGACACAGTTTGAATCTACAGCATACAAAGAATATACCTTTTTCTTTCATTTCAGTTAACAGTTGTGTGATGGGCAGACTAATCTGATCTGTCATATCTAACTTTTCAATATTTAGGAAAGCATTGATGGAAACTGATGGAGCTTCAGAAGTTATGACAATAATACAGGTGTTTACACATCTCTTCCTTCAGGCTCATCAGAATGAAAACAAACAGGTTAGTCAAGATCTTTTCCTTTTTTTTCAGTGAGAAAATGCAAAATTTCACAAGAAAAAAAGACAATTCTACTCTTACAAATATAATGAGGAAAATAATAGCATCCCTCTATAGCTGCATAGATATACCAARGCTCCGTTCGAACATTTTTACTTGCACATAAAATTATAGTGTGAAAGCAATATGTAAGAGCAATTAACCTCCTAGTGTGTCTGCCTAAAGTGATTTTCACAAGCTCAATTCCTCTGACACTGAAGTTTCTGTGTGTAGAGTGAACATGAGCATGAACATCCATCTTTGATAGAAAGGATGAAAAATGTTAGGTGTATTTTCTTTTGCAGTAGCAGAGTTCTGATGATAAATGAAGCAGAGACAACAACCCCAATCCCAGTCTCCTAAATAATTATAAAGAGGATATTGAATAGTTGTATTTGTCTGTTCAGAAGATAAAAGACAAAGAATACATACTGGGACACAGAATACATGTTGGTTTCAGCTGCTGGTCTTCAACAGTAGTCTTTCAGAAAGTTTCCTTGGTCAAAATATTCAGATTTCACAGCTTAATCAATGCTCTTCTTCTGCATTGATTTTTATACAGATCATACTGAACTAAGTGAAATTACTTTTATATGTGTTAATTTAAACAACAGCAAGATCAGTTTCTTATCTTAAAATTTTAAAATACAAAATAGTCATGTCTTACTTACATGTGCAAACTTGATTTCAGAATTGCAAATCACATGTCATTTCACATCCTGACTATCTTGTTTGTTTTTTGAAATCAAATTCATATGATGCAAGTTTGGAAAGTGCCCTATCATTTAAAAGCTTTCACTTTAGACGTAAGAAAATTTTCAGCTTCCTTTGATTTTTTGCATCTGCTGAGGGAGACAGTAGTGAAAAGAATGCTGGGATTTCTTGAAACTTCTGGCATACTGGCCTTTAATTAGTGTGATTGAATCTGTGTTCTAGCTTCAGGCAGATCTTGCTTAATACATAARTGCTGTGCGTGATAATCTTATGCCACCCTGACTGCACAGCAACAGCACACTGCGTAGCCCCAGGTGGGGATCAGGGGTGAGAACAAAAGGATTCCCCACCCATAAGACACCCAAAAGCTAATCCTGCTGGCATTGCAACATAGACTATCCCCCATTTTTCTGAAGTGGTTTTRAATATTGAGTTTTCTCTATTCAAGTCGTGTACAGTTAAAGTTATAGAGTTTCAATTAAGGTATTATCTTCAGTGTTAGAATATAAAACCCCTTGCCTCAAAGTTTATGAATCAACTGCAGCATTAGCTAAGTTTGCTTGTAAAAAAGGTGGGTACAGAGTGCATCCTAAATTTTAAGTCAGTCAGATCTCTTTTTTTCTTAATGTGATACCATGATTATATATATTCATAAATTACCTGTCTTTGTAGTATCTGATTGCCCTTGATAGGCCATAATGTGGATTATTTGCATTTAGGAGAGGAATGGTAAAAATATTAATATGACAGATGATGAAGGGGGYGCTGCCTGGTCACTGAGACTTCTGTAATTTATAGACATTAAATGAAAAAAAAACACTAGGCAAACTTGCATGATAGAAGGAGAATGATTCTCTGTTGCAGTGTGTTACATGTCAGAAATAGCTATCTTTTATAATAACTTCGTAGACCATTTAGAGAGAACAAGGTTTGCAGAAAAAAGGCAAAAAACTTTTCACTGTGTGAAAAACAGTGCTACTGGGTTGAGGATAGTCTTTTTCCTTCCATGTTTTCAGAGACTGAAAACAGTATGAATGGAACATGGGTTCAAACCTACTTAGAAAAAGTCTAATTTCTGAAGAAGGAATTTAAGARTGGGTGTACTGAGAGCACTGTTGGGATATGTTTGTACTAGCAGATTTTCTTCAAGTTTGTGGTGATAGTGAAAGCTGACCTGAGGATATTGGCGTCATGCTGCTTGTAAATTTATGAAGTTAAAGTTTATATTTGTATTTGATGGAAATTATAATTTCACCGCTAATTATTTTCTGTCAATYGTTTCAAAATTATTATTGGTTTTCATGTGGGAAAGAGATGAATACATATTTTAAACCAGTGTTCAATATTTATTTCTTATTACTTCATGGCAATTATTATAACCAGCCACACAACAAACTTGTTCTGTCTTATTCTACCTTGTTTTGCATTTTGTGATGGCATATATAAGGCAAGAATTGACTAAAATACTGTGTTCATATCACCTTTTTTTGCTTTGCCTACACAGTATGCTGAAAATTGTTTTCCACTTCACAATACCGTTTTCATATGTAGCATGTTCTGTGGTTGTCTTTGCGACTACTGACAGTATCAAGGGTCTACTTTTTCATGGGAATTTTTGGTGCAAGTTAATTTGCAATATGCATTTTGCTATAGGGATCATTATTTTTCTAATTAGCCTAATTCCTCTTGACAAGTAGACCTCTAGAATTTTACTGTAGCAGTGATATATAGACTAAGAGTGTCTGTATTCACGTGCTGTAATTTCAGTTAACTGTTGTTGACAGAACAGAAAAAGTAGTAGGAAGATAATGTGTCATTATGTTTGTTTATAAGATGCATGCATGTATATCCCAAAAGAAATTAGTTATTAAATACAGTCTTYATTAGATTTACAGCTCTATCACATTTTATATAGTTCATATTCCTGTTCTGTGTTTTAAGAGATGATTTGTTAGCTAAATGCCCTCTTACGCCTAAAAAATAATTCCAAGGCGCAAATGAGGGAATCAGAGTGCTAGAGATTGGAAGGGACCTCTGGAAATCATCTTGTCCAACTCCCCAGCTCAAAAGCAGAGCTACTTAGAGCCAGTTGCCCAGGACTATGTCCAGATGGGACTCTAAAGCTCTTTTGGGCAAACTGTGGTAGTGCTTGGTCATCTCAGAGTAAAATGGAAAGTGAAAAAAAAATTAGAGAAGTGTTTTCTGATATACAGACATATCCTCCCATGTTTGAGTTTATGCCTCTACATCTGATCTTGTCACTTGTGCAGCATTTTAAAAATCCTGGTTCTTTTGTCTTTGCACCCTCCCTTTAGGTGTTCCTATACATTGGTAGATTCCCCTCAGGCGTTCTCCAGGTTCTTTCAGCCTTTCCTCATAGGAGAAATGCTCCAGCCCTTCAATGATGCTTGTGGCGCTTTTTTTAACTGGCCATTAGCTGGACATAGTATTTCAGGTTAGGCTGCTAGAATGGCTGCTCACAGTGCTGGGAGGAGGGGAAGGAGCACCTCCCTGGACCCTGTAGCAATCCTTTTCCTAAGGCAGCTCGAGATACCGTTCACTGCTCTGTTGCAAGGCACACTGCTGACCCACGCTCACCTCGGTGTCCACTGAGTCCCCAGGTCATTCTCTGCAAACTGCTCTCCAGCTGGGTGGCTGCCAGCATATACTGATGCCTGGGTTTATTCCTCCTCAGGGGAGGACTTTGTACTTTCTCCTTGTTGACATTTATTTGACTCCTGTTAGCCCATTTCTCCAGCCTGTCAAGGTCCCTCTGGATGGCAGCACAATCCTTTCATGTATCAGTCACTCCTCCCAATTCTGTGTTATCACCAAACTCGCCCAGAGAACTCACTGCCTCTTCATCCACATCATTAATGAAGATGTTAAAATAGGACTGGACCCAGTACTGACCCTGCTGTACTCTGGTAGTTACTAGATTTTATGCCAGTSATCACCACCATATGGGCCTGGCTGGCTTTCTGGCTGTCTCAAGGGGAGTTGGTGTTGTGCTTGCACATCCATGCCACATGTTAGATGTGCCTGTAGTACCTGTTTGCAGAACAAAAAGATGAAAGCTGTGCTACTCCTACTCTCAGTTACACGAGCAGCGTTCACAGTTTACAAATTGCACGTACTCAGAAAAACAGTCTGTTATCTGTGACTGCCCTATGTGGTCCTGGATCAGATCCTAAGAATTTTAGGTTTCCATTTTGTACAGATGGCAATCATTTACACCACACAATCAGATTCTTGTAGGTGTTATTAGTTCTTAATTCAATATGATCTGTGAATCTGTTTACACTGGAAAATGAAATTAWACTTGCATCTCTTCTAAGCTCTGCATATCAAGAGGAAAACTTACGTGATTACAGGGAAATATAGTAGGACCATTAAGATGACATTTTCTTCGTGCTCTGAATCTTCTTTGATCCATATGCTTTTAAAATCTATAAATTATTTTTCATAAGAAAGCATTTCCTAAATATCCCCTTTCTTTATGTAAAATCCTAAAGTTAAGTATAGAGTTAATTTTCTATTCTCTTGCTTCATTGTTAATTACTACCTTAGATKAGCTTATTCACTATGGATTTGTTTTGAAAACTGACCAGAAACCTCTTAAAATAATGATTTTGTATCTTAGCATAAATTTCCACTGAAGGCATACTTTCCGTACCATCACCAGCCTCTTGTAAGAGGTTTAGTCAGACGTCCTTTTGGTAAGTTTTTTCATGAAATATTTGCAGCATTACCAATCTGCATGGTGTGTATATGTCTTAAAATAACTTTTAAAGGGGTAGAGGTGAACTTTTGCCATTTTCTTAATGGGCTGTGTTTGACTTAGCAGTTTAATAATATTCTTTTAATGTATTTTTCTGACGGAACCTCTAATTCTTATGCAACAATATTACAGATGTAACTTTAAAGAAAACTAAACCAAAAGTCAAAAACAAAGAAAAGGTGGATAATTGTGTAGGAATGAAGCCATGTTACAGAGATTGTAAAAATGCTACATTTTCTTACGTTATAATAGCAATRACTGTAATTGTGGAAAAATTCATATGTATTTCACAAGAAATAGGCTTTCTGTTTCTGTCTGAGCCTTCAATTCTGATATTTTAGATTGCAAACCTAATTTTTTTCAGCTTGCCTGTTCATGTAGACTAAGAAATCACTGTTCAATGTGGTATAGCTTTTTATGAACAGTAATTAAAGCTCAGTACAGTGAGAATGCTACTCCACTGATTATATATTAATATTGAGGTAGCATTTGCAYAAAGGAACATCAGCCTCATTTCAGTATTCCTAGCTGTACTTCCTCTCATGGCTTTATCAATTAATTGTTTTATGAAACACAGTAATAGGTATTATTGAAAACTGGGAAATTTTAAAATGGAATTTTAATTACTTTATGATAACTGAATCAAGTTGGAGAAATCCTATAGCTAGCTTAATGTTTCACTGTTATGTTCTAGTTGGAGAGGCTATCATTTTAAGAGTTTTGTTTTCATTCTCCATCCTCAGAATTCCCAACTACATATTGGTCTCAACACTTGAAACACATTTCGGACATGCTCAAAGCCTTAGTAGAAGATACAAACATTAGGTAAGCAGTATAAGATCTTCTAACTTGTGTCCTTTGCGTGTTAGTTTCCAAAAGGTTGTGTCAATTGAAGTTTTTAGTGGCTACATTTCATAATTTTCTTATTATTCTATGAATAAGGCTTTGTTTTTAAGAATAGGGCTTAGATCACTTACTGAATGTGAGCYCTTTAGCATCTTGATACCTGACCAGTAAGGCTTTGAGGAAATAAAGTCTTGTCATTCCTTTCAACCAATATCTGGCTGCATTATGGAAATGCTTATTTGTCTATTCTCCCTTTCCTCCATCACAAATTTTAACCCTATTTTATGAAGAGGCTTGTCTTTCTGTGGGCTTTTGCAAATATCCAAACTGCAAACTTCTTTATTGTTTTAATAAATATACAATAGCCAGATTGCAGTATCATTTTTGTTGAAAAAAAAAATTACTGCTGCCCTGTAATTCTTTCTTATCAGGAGTGTGATGAGACCTGACTCAGATAAAACTTGGGTGCAAGTTTGCTTAGGTCTGCACTGAGACCTATAAACTGTTCAAATTATGTTAAACAGCTTTTAAATTTAAAAAAAAAAATTAAATTTGATTTTTAACTTGAAATACATCAAAGGAAACAGAGACCACTGAGGCCAGCCAGATTGGCAAAACAAGATCATAGAGTCACAGAATCAACTAGGTTGGAAAAAACCTTTGAGATCATCAAATTCAACCTATGACCAAACACCACCTTGTCAACACCAAGTGTAACATTCAGTCTTTTTTAAACATCTCCRGGGATGGTGACTTCACCACCTCCCCGGGCAGCCCATTCCAATGCAATCACCMCTTCTGTGAAGAATTTCCTCCTAATGTCCAGCCTTAACCCTACGCTGGTGCAGCTTACTGTGTCTCTTGTCCTCTTGCTGGTGCCTGGGAGAAAAGACTGACCCTCACCTGGCTGCACCCTCCTTTCAGGCAATTGTGCAGAGCAGTAATGTCTTCCCTGAGCTCTTCCCTGAGCCTCCTTTTCTCCAGTCTAAACAACCCCAGCCCCCTCAGCTGCCCCTTATAGGATCTCTGCTCCAGATCCTACACCAGCCTTGTTGACCTTCTCTGGACACACTCCAGCCCCTCAATGTCCTTTCTGAATTGTGGAACCCCAAACTGAATGCAGCRTTTGAGGTGTGGCCTCACCAGTGCCCAGTACAGGGGGGCAATCACTGCCCTGGTCCTGCTGGCCACACTRTTGCTGATCCAGGCCAGGATGSCATTGGCCTTCKTGGCCACCTGGGCACAACMGTCTCATGTTCAGCTGCTGTCAGTCAGTAYYCCCAAGTYCCTTTTTGCATGGCTGCTGTTGAGCCCCTCTGTTCCAGTTTTCCCCTTGTGTACTGGAACAAAGATGCTTGCAACCATGCTTGGTTTCAGTTAACTCGTGGGGGCTTTTTTTTTTTTTTTTTTTTTTTTGCTGAGTGGCAGAAAAAAGCTTTTTGTTGTTTCCTCTGAGGCCAGGCTGTCTGCTGGTAGCTTCTCACTTTCTGTATGAGCTGCAGTTCAGTGCTATGTCTCGCCTGTTCATCCCTGAAGTGTGTCAGACCTTTCTGTCCTTGGAGTGTGACCCATAGCTGACCCTGACTTCTTAAAGAAACACGTAACTGAATCTTAGAACAAATAAATGTCATCCATCATAATGCATTGAAATAATATAACCAGATCTGTTCTCCTTTTTTTTTGCTCAGCTTTTTYTGGGCTTATACATAGTCTTTTTCCCCCTTTGTTTTGAAGTACACTAGTTTGAATAGTGTACTTGCCAGAATATACTCCTACTTCCTTTGGAACTCCTGCAACAATTGTTTTCTACCAAAGCCGTCTGAGTTACAAAGAAAATGGATCTAACATGTTTTAAATACYAATATCCATGAAGAAACCATACTCAATTTTCTTTTATTGCTTTATTCCTGAATCTGTGTCCTTTCTACTTAATAAGATTTACAGAGGAGAAAAAAAAATACTGTTATACAGCATATCCTGTTGCTTCTTATATCAAGTACCCTCTTTTTATATAGGTTGGTTTTCAGTTTTTTGKTTTTTTTTAATACCAAATGCAAGGCCCTTTCTGTGCCCTTCTAATCAACAGATTGCTTCTGTGCTGTGATTTATTGTTATATGTAGTCGTCTCAGTGAACAGTAAATGTTACATGACTTTTAAATCAGAAATGATTTGATTGATGAACTCATGTACATTTTGTGAGGGCAAATCCCAGAAAAAGTGAAGAGCCACTTTTGGCAATGACAATGGAGCATAGGTACCACGACAGAGTGGGCAGAAACAGCTGTGGGGACAGAACTCCAAAATATGCACTATAAAGGTGAAACATCTTACAGATAATGGTAACTTCATCAGCTCTTGAAATTTCTAAGATCTCTTGTACTTTCCTTGTGGAGGTGACACAGCAGCTTTTTGAATCCCCAGGAGTAAAACTTAAGAAAACCTTCTAATTCTTTCAAGTTTTGCCAGATTTCTTAGGAATAATTGTTCCTGGTTCTTAATCTAGCTGTGCTTCTTTTTGTCCTTGCACATTTAGTTTAACTTTTTGCTTCAGAGACACCTACCATGAGTTTGCATCTCCYCATTACTTCTCTTTTCTGTAGTCCTTGCTAAACGAATGCACGTGAGAAAGTGTGGAGTGAGTGGTGTTCCTTTCTTACAGCAATAATCCTGTTGTAAACACCTTCAAAATTTTCATTAAAGACATGAGTTTTAAGAGGCAGGAGACATACTTAAAAATGTACTTTGAAAATTATATTTAGTCCATCTAAATGTAATTCCTCGTGAATTACCAAAAAAGATGCACTTCATGAATTACCAAAAAGCAGAAATTAACCCTGGAAAGCAACAGAGAGAAAGTGAAAGGCAACAGTATGTTAGAGTATAATACTTGATATACGATTTACAGTATTTGAAATCCTGCAGCTAGAGTATAAATAGTAGGTATAAAGTTTATTGTGTATATTTTCATACATAGTGTTTAATCACAGTTTATTAGAAATTGCTGTTAAGGATAGCCTGTTCTTCTGTCAGAGTTAATCTGTAGTAGCATTGGGTGTGTCTTGCTTGATCATGATTTCAGATAATAGATTAAGTAATACTTGGCTCTATGCTTAGCTGGTAAGGGATTCTCTGTTGAAGAGTAGTTTAAAGACATTTTTTTAAAGTAAATTGCCAGCACCCTTTGTAGCTAATTTAAGACAATTAAAAATGTTGAATAATGAGAAATACATAATTTTATCTGTGTTATTTTCTAGTTCTCTCACTGACCTTTTTGAAATCTGGTTTTTGGCTGCTTGTTTTGGAGAATGGCTGGATATTGCAGCAGAACAATTAATGAAGGCTGCTGTGGAATCAGATGCTGTGCTGTGGCTGCTGGCATTTTACTACTGTCCTAAGAATGAAAATCAACAAAGGACTCAAACAATGGTGGGTAATGTGGTGATAGTAAGTGGCAATAAGYAGTCAATAGCCTGATCATACCTTATTGCTGTAAAACAAATAGTGCACACCAGAAAAATTAAAGGTATTGACTTTACAATGTCTCTGGGAACTGCGTTGAARTGAAGAAGTTGAAAGTTTGTTTTTTTTAAATTTTCTTGTGACATTTAGAAAATATTTTTCTTCTTTTTAAAGTATGTTATATAGATTAGCACCTTCCTGGCTTTCTTTTGGATAACTRGGGTGTTTTTAATCATAAATAAAATTACCCCAGTGATGGTATTGTTTAAATCAGTGTGGTAGAATTCAGCATTCCTGTTTTATGGCATCTTCTGAGAAGGAAAGAAGAGAAATCACAGCAGTTGAAACTGGTACTTGCAAACACAGCCTTGAATACAACCTTGCCCATCTATTCTGATTTCTCTTAGTATACTTACCAGTTTTTGGCATGAGATATTGTAATATATGTGATATTTCCACATGCTAGGTTTGTAACAGAAGGAGACTGTTCTAGCCTGACACACTGTACTGCATGAAGAGTGCTGTGTATCTATATTCAAGCAAATACATGAAAGTCTATAATGAAAACCTATTATGCAAGTCTGATCTAGCCCAATTAATTGTATCTAGGAAGCCCAGATTCAAAAGGCCTAATTTTCCTTAATTTGAAAATGGATTCTGTTWGTTTTAAAAATGCAGCTCAGCACACTACAGCAGTAAAACATGACACTTTCGATTTACATCTAATGGTCCATGTACAGCAGTGTATTATGCAATATTTTATCTGCTTTCCTTCCCCTCCTGCCTCCCAGATGGCACTACAAATGCAAGATCACATCCCCATCACYTGTAAAATTTTTTTCTCTTTAATTTCTTATAGTCTAGGAGAGGGCATGGGATGTTGCCTGGGCAGAATTAGGTTTGAGCTATGGTGAAATGAAGAAATCAAGATTTGTTTTAGAATGAAGTTTTGGAAAAGAAGGCAATACATGAGCAATAAACATGAATGAATGAAACTGTAGGACTACAGGTGCAGATCGATGTATGGAATATTGTTCTAACACCACAGAATAAAATCACTTTGTCCCATAWATGGAATCATCTCTCTGTGTGTCCCCTATTCCATCAGTTTGTTATTCAGTCATAACATAAGACAAGCTTCAGTTGAGAAAAAAGCTTTTTTACTGACAACCCACACAGTGTCTCATCTTTTCCCAGTTCATTATCATTCTTCTCTTAGGTACTTAAACTAAGACCTTTTCTTTTTGCACAGGTCAGGCTACTTCAAGCATTCCCACACTTCATGCAAAGCTTCTGCCTTCATTTAGGTGCTTGCTTTTTCTTTTAATTTGTCCTTTGGMAGATTAGCTCTCAGTCCTTTCAAATGAAGTGGTTTCCACCTCAGCCCCTGCACCTATCACTAGTTAAGGATTAACATAGCATGGGAACTTCTGGCAGATATCAATCTGGAGTACTTTTCATTTAGCATTATTTTGGTCTGGAAAGGTATGCACTTTTGACTTAAGATTTTGGTACTTTGGGTAACACCTTTGTATCAGCCAGAGTGTAATACAAAGGGTTTAAATTATTTAGAGAAGAAAAAGGCTATTTTTGCTACTCACTAAACTTCACTCATATGTGCAGGACTAAATATTCTGTTCCTCAATATTTATTCCTTTGTTGCACTCCTTTCATACCTTTAGGCTCTGAAACACTGAAGGAACAAAWGTTGCAGGTGGACACTAAGAATGAAATTCCTAGGGTATGTGAGCTCTTGGAGCAGTCTGCTACCCATCTGCAGTCTCTGGCACGTAGGATGCACAGAAAGATATAGAATTGTGAGGAATTCCAGTCACCTTTCTGTAGATCCTGGTATTATTTGCGCTTCACATGTAGTTGTGGGCATAATGCAAGAATAGCAGCTTTTTCAGGTTATTTTATGTGAAATTTTTAAAAGGGTAGGTCAATGTGAGATAAATGTCTGAAAAAACTTGTCCAAATGAATATACTTGAGAAACAGATATCCTTTTCCTCTGGGTCTGCAGTGGTGTACTTTTCTATTGTTCCAGCAGATACTCATTTGTTCCATCTACAAGTTTTTTCAGTTAATTTTTAATATAGTGAACAGAATTATTGTTAGGATTTTTTTGCAGTTGTTGCTTATAGTTCCTTTTCTAGAGGTGCCAAAATCTTCTGTTCCCTACTCCCAGTAAAAATTAGGTTTTATTGTCTAACTCACAACATAAAAACCTAAGTTATGAACAACACAGGAAGAAGTTAAAACCCACATTCTTACCAGAACATTTTATCAGCTAAGTTCAGGCTGCATGGGGATTTGATTGATTTATAGCAGCAATGCTGAAATGACCCCTTGAGGAGGCTTTGTTCTTTTTCCCACAATGCAAAAATCGGACCATATTCTGCTGAGGGACTTTCTCCATTTCCATATATTATTAAAAAAAGTAAAATCCTGGCTTCATGCCCTGCCTGCTACATGTGTCATACCAAAGAATATAAAAAGTCCATTCTGTYCACATTTGTGTGTGTGAATCAGTGTAAAAGAAATGTGTACAGCCTTTCCTTCCCTGGTTTTCCTGCTGCTTAAATTCRAACTCTTTTCATGTTTGAGTTGTTTCTCCAAGGATTCAGTTTTSTCTTGGTGAATAAATCCAAAAGAAAAATAGCCTAGATTTGACCTTTACTTTTTCTGATCYTGCATGCTTTGAAATTATTTTCTACAGGTAGAAGCTCAATCAGTCTACAATTATCTAATGACACTCTTCAGCTGTACAGACCTTTCTCTCAAAGATCTGGAGCCTGCCATAAACAGGATAATGGGTACAGAGCAGTGTTGTAACCAGCAGCTTATAACACATCTTCTGATCAACTTTTTGCTCTTTTCACCTGGTGGTTGTAAGATTGCCCAGGAATGCATTTACCATGTAAGTGTTTCTTCCCTTTTTTTCAGGTTAAGTAAAATATACATTTACTGTACTATTTTGGATATAAATTTCTACCTCTTAATAAAGAAAACACATAACGGAGAATTAAAGAAGATCATGGCTACAGCAGCTTTATCTCACCTGCTACATACTTATTTCAGCTATGGTTAAAATATTTTCCATTAATTCCTCGATCTCACTGAAAAGGTTGCTGTCATGACTATACAGATGTACAAAGAGTTGTAGTAACAGCTTGCAGTTCAGGAATGCCTACAGTTCATTTGCACATGGTATAGATAGCATGTGCAAACATTTTGATTTTYCCATAAAAATTACTGCCTAAATTGTTCAGCTACTGCAGAGATGGTGGAACTCTCTTCTCAGTGTTTTCCATTAGGTGGAAAGCTGGTTACTATGTCTTAGCATTGATGTGGCAGAAGCTTGGTGCTTAACAAAGCCASTGAAGAAAACACTGTGGTAATTGAGAGACGAGAGAGTGAAGAACTAAGACAGTGTCTCTTAGGGTGTGAAAAGAGATGAAGAGGACAAAAAGTTTGGAAGCTTGCTGCAGTATCTTCTTGTTGGTGACAGCCTTCAGGTGCAAACTATAAAGTGTGTTTTTGTCTCCTAAGTCAAACAGAGCTATCTCAGTGTAGGATTACAAATCCATTCCKAACTACAAAACCATATTCTTGTAAGGAGTGCATGGCCCCTATTCTACTGTGTAGGTTTAACACTTACAAAAGTTTGTCCATTCAGACCACAGCACTGTGGTCTTATGCATAGACCTGTATAGGGTATATGGCATGTGTAAGGTGTCGGATTTTATGACACAGATGGCTGACTAAAGAGATATAACATTTTCTGTTTRGAAAGGGCTAGGATATTTCTCACATCCTAGATGCAAGTTCACAAATAATTTTCTTCTCAGCATAAGAATGTAATGATAAAGTTAGGAGGACTGTATATATTTTTACAGACTGCTATTTCTAGTTTCTCTTCATGAAGAGAGTGCAGTTGTTAAGCTGTTTTGCTGTAATATACTAGCCTGCYGCTTTAAACCCCTGAAGGAGGACCAAAGGCAATCTTCTGCTTCTTCATAGATAGGAATATAACTTACCTTCAAAACTCTGAGTATTCCCCAGCGCAGGGTGGTCAYGAGCTGTTGTAGACCAGTTTTTGAGTTTATCAGGCTGTAGTTTTGACTGTGTGTTTATACCCACAAGTGTGTAGGCAGGTTGTCCATGTTATTTGAAAAAGACTAAAGGCAATATATGAAAGTTAGAATGGTGTGGAACTGATTTGGGATGCATGGCTGTGGTTTTGTGTAGCATAGGAAACTTTGGGTTTAATGCAGCAGATAATGAGGAGTCAAGTTCCTCCTGATCAGCAAAAATTGCAGCTTAGGGTCTTTTCCTGGGTTTTTTGTTGTCTTCTGGGGCAGGGATTTATTTTTACTTTTGAAAGCTTACAGRCTGGAATGTACCCAAATACATGCAGAACCTTCATGTGCTTTTAGTTGTTTTCTATGGCAATGACTTCTTACAAATGTATCCATTTGTGATTCTTTTAAAAACTTTCTGGCCTCTTGATTTGTTTCACTTAAATTAGAGACAACAGCAGAAATCTCAAAGTTGCCCATTTCTACTAGGATRTATGAAAAGAGATACCTTGGGCTGAAACTACTTCTCACATATTCTGTGGTGAGGACAAATCTGTGGTTTTGTTGCAAATATTGCTGAAGAATTCTTTTGCATTTAGCAACATAATTGCATTATTTAAACTTTGGTATTTCCTTTCAGATTACTGAGACAACTGATACAAGAAAAGAAGTTTATAGMCTTCTTCTCCGTACTGCATACAGATTTAACCATAGTGGAAACGAAAACCAAAGGACTGTGAAGCTGCTGAATGAACTTCTTCAAAAACTTAGATTGAAAGTTTAGAATTTTAATGTCATCTACTTATCAAGCCAACAAATCAGATCTTCATCAGGTGTCAGACTTCCATTAGCATCTTGCACTGCAGGTTACCAAGGCCAGAAAGATACCTATATAAGTTATATCTGCTAATTAGGATTTACTCATCTATATTTTAAAATTGCTTGCTGTTTGGAAATATTAAACTTTTTGAAACATAATAGTAAATATTAAAAATGTTTGAAAATTTTGTTCTGAGCATCTTCGTAACAAGATACCTACATCATTTAAAGTAGTTCACTCGTCTCCTTGTTTATCTGGCTGATGATCAGATTTTCTTCCAAAATACACATGTGGGTTTTTTTTAGCAAGTGATATCCTATTCCTTGATTGGTAAGTTGTTGCTAAAATGTTTTGTTCTGTGCCTCTGCTTTTGTGAAACTAACAAGTGATTTGTGGTGTTCTTGGGAAATAAGTGATGTTTCCTGAATTCTTTCCTTCATTTTGAAAATGTTTCCAAAATGAATCTCTTCCCATATTAGCTAAATGTGAGTTTTTTTTCAACTACTGCAATTTTCACAGGACAGTGTTCTCCTCAGAGTACTATGCCAATAGCTGATCTTGGTCAACAGACAGTGCAGGCAGAAGATTGCTTGCAGTACAGCCCACTTGAGTGTGCCATGACTGATGCTGTTATTTATTAATTTAAGAAATAKGGGGGTTTTATTCAGACTAAAGAGGGCAAGCAAAACAGAGACATAAGAACATTTTCCAGTTTGAGGGACAAATTTCCTATAAAGGTTGCAACACATGTCCTTCATGTTTGTGTCCAGCAGTAGTTTGCTTACTTCTTTGCTTAGGTTACTTTTATCTTATGTAAGGAGCATAGACAGGTAGCAACGGCTTACGGTTTTACCCTTAGGAAAGTATTTGTCCCAGGAAGTTTTGTGAACCTGTTTCTAGCCTAACTARAACAATAAACAGGGAGAATAGTAGTGACAGAGCATCTTAACTTTCCTCAGTAATATGTTCTCCTATATTACTTAGTTGCAATGCCAACACTTGTGCTATGTTCAAAGATGCTACTTGGAATACTATTCTTGCATGTAAAATCAGGGACATGTATCTTGAATTTATAAAGCTTTTTGAATGTACCATTTGCTTTTGAGCAAAGGGGAAAGCAAAACAATGTACTTAGTGTCCCTTGGCTGTAAGAAGTGGAAATATATTTTCKGTTATTGCTGTTGACTGATTTCTTACAATTTTGTTCCCAGTGAGTCACATTGCGGAAGTTACATGCCCTCTCAGTCAGTTTGCTAGTGAAAAAATAGCAAACACATGATGTAAGTCTGCAAAGAAAYGGTTTTTTTTCCTCTTTTTTGATACAAAATATTTTAAAATAAAAAATTAGAAAGAGATACGTTGAAATTTTTCTGTTGTTAATACCACACATATCTAAAAAAGTAAAATCAAGCAACAGTTTTCTGTTCCCTGAATACCATAACTGAAAAGCATGGGATTAAACTAAATTATTTGTTGATCACTCACTCAGAGTTATTTGTCTAGTGAAAACAGATGTGGAGTGCTCTATCTAGAATGATAAATAATACAAAATTTTAACCCAAAGGAAGAATGATGGGGTTTTTTTTTTGTTTTTTGCTTTTCTTTTTTTTGGTTGGTTTTTTTTTTTTTTTTTTTGGGGGTTTTTTTTTTGGTTTAATGGCTAATCTGATTGTTAGATATGAAACTCTTTAGTTGCATTTTCTCCATATCGTGCCCACATGTAATTTTAACTACATAAAAGAAAGCTTCACAAAGAATTGCAATATGTGATTCTTGCAGATTAACTAGGTGAATGATTCGGATATTTTATTTGGATGTGTATTACAGTTTTGTACAGGAATTTTTAAGTATCTTCTCACTGTGATTTAATTTTTCTGCCAACAGAATGCATGAAATTTTTCAAACTTCCTTTTAAAAATCAATATCCAGATAAATAAGGATAAATTAATTCAAGAAGGAAGGAAATGTACAATGAATGCAGTAAAAGAAGAAAATTAGTAGTGAATTGGTACATTCTTGTGTACACTTTTCCTGTGTTTGGTGTCCTAAAAAATAYTGAATGATTTAAATATTGAGGAAGGTTTGCTTATTTCACAAATCTCTAAGGAAGAAATCTAATTGATGCTGTCTGTAAAGTAAAAAAGATACATCTGTATTGGCATTCTTTTTGCYCTGTTTAGCATAGTTGTTTTGAATCTTTGTTATTTCTTTTTCCTTACCCTTTCACAGTGCATGAATTATGATCTAACTGATATAAGCTGTGATTTTTTGGGATGTAGTAGCTACTTTGTTCGTTTGCCTGGGGAAGGCTACAGAGCAATTTGGTAGATCTGAGTAATGGAAGATTTTTTTTATGGTGGCTTCCATATTATTGATCCAGTGTGCATCTTTCCCTCTGTAATTGCTGCTTTTGGAAATGTTATTTGGAGCCTTCCAGGCTGTACTTTTCTGCTGAACCAGCCAGCAAGTCCTGAAATCAGAGTTCAAGTAGGTTGTTCCTGTGCCTTTTATCTCCAGCACACGCCCTAGTTCTGGACAGTACACGGAACATAGAGAACTTTCAAAATTGTTCTGCTTCAAGGGGCTTTCTGAATAAGTACAGACAGTAAATTTTTCTTCTTTGTTGATTATGCTTCTTTCCAGTCTAAGACCCTAAGTTAGAGCTTTGTGAATTCTGCAAGCTTTGCAGCATGGTGCTGGCTGGTTTCTGTGGATTTTCTTCAGGCAGGAAAAAAGGTCCTTTCTGTAGCTTTTGTTTAATCTCAGTACAGTGCCTATACAAAGCAGAATATATTTTATTTTRTCATATTGTCAGATATTGCAATTTAGCTGACCAACAGTAACCTTTATTCTATTACTTCTAGCATTTGTGATTAAGTTTCTGTGTTCTCAGCATTTTAAGGGCTAAGAGCTGTTAATAGACAGTGAGTTAATATTAGATTTGGTGAGCTGAAATCTGTGGTATATGTTTGGCTTGGCAGGGGTACAATTCAAAAATTTTGATGCATTAGCATTATAGAAGTCTAGGACAAAACATCTAGCACAAATTACTTGCAGCTTTTAAACAAAACACCATTAAATCAGGTTTACACTGTTTCATTGCTGTATTATCTATGACTGRATAAAGTGCTAATGTTCTGTGTGAACGAGTAATGTCATCTCCATTAAAATGAAGTTTTCCCTGTGACATAAGAAGGGTGTAGAAAGGTGATAATTTCTAACATGGAAGTGTAGTTTTCTACTGGACCCAAGTTTGAAAAGTCAAAACCTGGAATGTTATGACAGAAATCCTCTACGAGCACACAGAGCATGTGTTTGAAATTTTTTATACTTTCCYGGTGGTCTGCAATGGCTTTCGTAAGCAACCAGCATGTTTTGTTGGACAACACCAGTAGTTAAAYCACTGTAGCTGAACACTGGTGCTAGAGGCATCCCATGAGCACTTAATACATAGATAGCAATGCTCAGATGTGGGCCTGCTTAAATCCATTCTTCTGGCAAGTTTTCCTTACTTGTCTTACAATTTTTTCTTAAATGCTTGCCTGGATTAAAAAGATATGCTTACAGTACACATTTCATTTGCTGCCCTAGCAAAGAGTGGCTTATTCTGGGAATTTGCTGTTAGGTGGTCTGCTCACTAGTGAATGCCACRGAGGAGTTTCCCTTGCTTGCACTGGCCATCTTCCTTTAACCAGCTGCCATAAAGGAATAAACCAGCTGTCTGGCTGCCATAAAGGAATAAATCTCACAAGCTCCTTCGGATGGTTTGAGTGTGCTCACTGTGGTTTCAGCTGCCAGCAGCCAAATAGGGATAAGCATGGAAGAAACACTTGAAATGTCGGCTGGCTCTAGCTGAATTGTGGTGATGTAGTTAATAGGAAAGGATKGTGCTTTAGTTTGCATTCTGTATTCTTGCATGTGTGTGAAGGGAGAGAGTGACAAAGACAAAACCCAACACATTTGAAATTCAGYTGTGATTTTTGTAATCAGAATTAAGACAGTATTAGGAAGTAACAATTCCATACATGACACTATTTAACCTGTACATCAACAAATAGAAAAAAAATCCAGTTTCAACAAGTTTGTATATTTAACTAACTTCACATCTTTCTCCTTTAAAAGCATCTTATAAATCCGGACTATGTCAGATGATAGACTCATTTAATAAAAAAGTAGACCCTAAGAAACAATGACCTTTTCTATCCTTTTTATAAAAATATCTGTTAGGCCCATGAACTTTTGCAGATGCATAGCGCCATCTTGAAGAGATTATGTCTGTACATATTCTCRACTACACCTTGTGAATTACACTGTTTGAGATTTCTTGTGTGTATGTGCCAGTTAGCCTGTATGTACAGTTCACTCACTCCTTGACAATTTCATTTTATTTCTTAGTYTGTGAGTTTATTCTGAGGCTTCCAAAACAAGTGCATGCAATATGGCATTTGCCTGAGTTTCTTTAATATTACAGATATGAGAAAGCAGCYCCTGTTTGTTTTGATTAATGGTGCCGTAATTTCTACTATGTATAAGTTTTCTGAAAATAAGACCTSAGCTTTTTTATTTCTAACTAACTTATAAGGTTAGCTGGAAATACAAATTTCCCATCTGTACCATTCTTCCCTATAAAGACTATCAGTAASTGTTTAAGTGCTTTTAATCTCATGACTGTGCAGCACTTCCATAGCAGCTTCAGATGTCTGCAAATAGAGAGGGAAAAGCCAGTATCATATTCCATGGAAGAGGAGAGAGGCTTTGAAATATGACACAGGATTAATTTTCAAGATAAATATCAGTGATACATGTCCGTGAATTCAGGCATTTTGTGAGTTTCTAGTAGGCAGGACCAATAGCAGCATCTTTTCTGGAAACRTGACAAAAGTACCAGTGTTGTCTCCATAGAAAAGTAAATTTCTTCAAATGCATTGCAAGACCGACTATTATGTTCCAACTTTCTTTTCTTGCATGTTTGCTTCTTCAGTGAAGCACAGATGGGCAGTGCAGAGCAGCTCTGTGCACAGCACACTTTCCAGGCCACACTGAACTGCTGTAGTTGCTGTCTCTGGCTTGACTTAGGCYGTGAGTGGATACTGAGCAAATGTCAAACTCAAACCTTGCAATTAAGCGATAACATCTGTTTTGGAAAGATCATTTCAATGGGATTTAAAGTCTTCAGATGACAGCTRTTGACTAGTTTTCATCATAGCTTTTCTGATCTTTATTTCACGAGTTCTCCTTCTGCTAGTATTGGCAGAGTGAGTTCCCAGAAGCGCCTACTCTTTAGGCAGAAGCACTGCTTTTTTTTTTTTTTTTCCTCTCCCTTTCTGGCCAGGATCCAAGAAGAACATGCAAACGGTAGATCCAGTCTCTCTATTTTTCTCTTGTTGTTTTTATTTTTAAAATTGAATACCCTAAACCTATGTAAACATCATAGAAGGACATTTAAGAACTTGCACATAAAATCACATATGGGCTGAGTATCTGTTTTTCTGCYGAGATCCTTCACTCACATACTTGTGTCTAACCACACAGCAATCTGTAAGTCAGCTGTTCCYTGTCCTAATTTCTTCAGATTTGTCAAACTTGTTGTAGAAGAATGAAAGAAGAACAGAGTTTGGTATCAATGCTGTCTCCCCTCTGCTTCAAAAACCATGCATTGAACAGCCCAGCTGCTACCCRACTTAAACAGTAACTCTGCTTTGTGGTAGTTTTTCAAAGTGCAGCTAGCTTAAGAAATATATAAGACTGATCTTTCTATTTTCTTAGTCCAACTGCTTCCTAATTCCCATTTCTTTCCTTCCACCTATCATGCAAGAAGTTTACATTCCTATGATTTGTAGAAGAAAGGAGAGTCAATTGCTGGGGAGAGGTGAAACTATTAAATGTCAGCAGGAAGGCTTTCATRTTCTTGTATAAAATTGACAGTCTTGTGATTATTTATATGACTCCTCATCTGTGTAAAGAAGTGTGCTGGTTTTAACTGAGGTAGATTTAATATTCTTCACAGTGGCTGGTATGGGRCTGTGTTTGGGATTTGTGCTTAACACAGGGTTTTTGATATTGTTGAGCAGGGCTTACAGAGCCAAGGCCTTTTCTGCTTTTCATACAGCCATGCTGGTCAGGAGACTGGGAGTGCATGGGAGRAGACACAGCCAGGACAGGTGACCCCARCTGACCAAAGGGATATTCCAGACCATGTGACATCATGTTCAGCATGTAAAGTGGGGAGAAGAAGGAGGAATGGGGAGTATTTGGAGTGCTGGTGTTTGTTTTCCCAAGTCAGTTACCTGTGAGAGTGCCCCGCTGTCCTGGAGAGGCTGAGCACCTCCCTGCCCATGGGAAACAGGAATTAATTCCTTGCTTTGCTTTGCTTTACTCGGGTGTGTTGCTTTTSCTTGCCCTACAAAACTGTCTTATCTCAGCCTATGAGTTTTCTGGCTTCTACCCTTCTGATTCTCTCCCCAGTCCTGCTGGTGGGGCTGTGAGCAAGCAGCTGCATGGGRATTGGGGTTAAACCATGAGAAGAAGAAAAATAATTCAGCATTTATGTAATGTAATTGYAATTTTTTTCAATATATTCAAGCAAACAGGAGCAATGTTTT